ACAGGGGGGCCAGCCTTAGCCTGTCCCCTCTCCTGGGGCTGGTGGCCAGGAGAGCCAGGGCGATGGCACCTGGCCCCCTTGCTGCCACCCCAGCCACTTCTGCACCCTCCCTGCTTTCTTACAACTTTTGAACGGTTTTTGTGATACAGTTTTGCACTTTTTAGTACCAGATCGAGCTGACCACCAGGGAGGGTTTTTTGGGGCTACTTTTGATGCTTTTTGGGAACTGTTTAAAAAAACAAACAAAACCACAAACCCAGCCATGTCCTGTAGGCACTGCACTCTGGGGGGAGGAGATTTTTACACAGACTCAGGGGGAGACCCAGCTCCCCCGCCCCTGCAGCAAGCTGAGCATGGGCTCCTGCGTGTGCTGCTACCCGTTCCCCTGCCCCGCTCCGGCACCAGCAACCCTTCGGAGAGAGACAGCCCTGCAGCCGCTGGCACCAAGGAAGCAGCCTTGGGATAGCAGCACCCATTGCTGCACTTGTGGCTGCATGAGGGGCTGATGCGCTGGTGCTTCTTGATCACCCCCTGACAGCATGGACCAGTGCCGTTTGCACTGCAGCATCGTACCCAGGGCATGTTGGGCAGCAGCGTGTAAGTACTCACAGTGGGGAGGTGACCCCTGAAGTCAGGGTTGACCTGGAGCTCCCCACTACCCTATGGGGCTGGCAAGAGCCGGAGCCAGCTTTCCTTCCTGTGCTGCTTCTCCAACGCACAGCTGGGGCCTCAGAGGCTGCCAGCAAAGCCCAGCCCGTAGCACTGGGAGGTCCTCATGCTGCAGCAGTGGTGGTGCAGCCCCTCCTTCCTCAGCCATGGGCTCCCTCCTTGCCAAGGTGAGGGGCAGGCTGGGGCAGCCCCCACCACCCCGGGGTGCGCTGGAGGATGCTCATCTGGAGCGAGGTGCTGGTGGTAGAGCATGGCCGCAGGAGTGCCCAGGGTGCACAGGGAACGGTCCAGGGACAGCGGAAGGGCTGTAAGCAGGGGGCTGGCACACACGCTGTTCTTGGCTGCCCAGGACCCGGCTGGTTTCAGCACTGACTTTGCGAATGTGTCAAACTTTTTATTCTGCTCTTTTGAGTCTATTGCAAAAAAAAAAAAAAAAAAGAAAAAAAAAAAAGAAAAAAAAATCCACCCTTGCCCCAGGCGGCTCAGGGAGAGAAAAATCTTTGTACAGCTTCTTCTCTCGGTTACTGAAGTAAAACTTGCTCTTCACTTCTTGTGTGCGCTGTGGTTTCTCCCCCACGGTTGGGGACAGCACTGGCATGGAGGGATGCTGAGGAGGGGCCAGCAGTTGCCTCCTCGCTGCTGGACTCCCAGCCCTAGGCAGGGCTCAGGGGGCGTTAGTGCCCGCCAGCTCAGGGCCAGGGCTGGAGAGAGGGAGGGCAAAGGCTAATGGAAACTGTGTCCCTTTATTCAGAAGAGGGACCATTAAATAAGAGCAGAGAGGGGCAGGAGCCAGCTGTGTCCTGTCCCCCTGAGTCCAGGCAGCCAGACCCCAAGTCCAGAAGGCACTTGCATGGGCAGGGCAGGGTAGGGGGCAATGTGGCCCCCCAGGGTTGTGCAGGGGCTGCCAGCCCCTCAGTGCACCTGTGGCTGCTGGCTGTGGGGCAGCTCACCCCCCGGCCCCGGCTTCAGGGCCAGCGCAGGCGCCTGCTCTTCCTCCACTGACTCACTGCCATAGGCACTGTCTTCCTTCAGCTCTGCAAAGCAAGCCCCGGCTGCTGTCAGTGATGGGGGTCAGGGGGACAGCAGGGACATCCCCCCAGCCCCTCGCTCCCCATACCTGTGCTTTGCAGCTTCTCCAGCGCCTCAGTTTTGTGGAGCATCCTCACGGCCTTGCGGAGCCCCATGGAGTCCAGCGCTTCCAGCAGCCCTCCCAGGCTTCCCCCTGCCAGCTGCGGAGAGAAAGCACTGAGCAGGCCGGTGGCCAGACGGGCAGGGGGGACAGGGGCACCCTGGCCAGGTACTGACCTCGTAACTGCGCAGGAGGCTGATGCTGGGTGAGGGGGTGTCCTTGTAGGTCTCCACCAGGCTGCAGAGCCCCAGGCGCTTGGCTAGTTCGATCCAATCCGACCCACTGCAGTCCTGGTTCAGCAGCTGCTCCAGCCCCTGCAGTGCTTCACTGTCCAGTGACAGGACCTTCCCTGTGCAGGAGAGGTGCCTCCATCACACACTGCCTGTCCTCACTGCTGGGAGGGTGCTGCCCTGTCTGGGCACAGTGCTTTTTGGGGGAGAGGGGCTGCTCACCTGGCCGGGGGGCAGTGGGCAGCTCTGCCTCGGGGCCCTGCTGGGAGGCCTGCAGCAAGATTTCCCGCACCTGCAGACAGATGTATGGATGTCAGCATCCCTCAAAGCACCAGCCAAACTCCTTCTTGCCTCCCCATGCCATGGCTCTCCTGGGACATGGAGGGGCACAGGCATCCTCGCAGGAGCATCTCCTGAGGCTCTTCCCCATCCGTGCTATGGCCCCCACGGAAATGCTCCCAGGGGGTTTGTCCTGCCATGCCACGCACCTTCTGGCTCCGAGTCAGGTCCAGGGGCGTGTGGCAGTGGCGCTGCCTGTGCCCTGCCTGCCCGTGCTCCTGCACAGGGGGCTCCCGGTTGGTGCTGTGCTCCATGGCTGGAGCCAGCTCCCCCAGCTCCATAGCCAGCTCCTGCTCCTCAGGGTCGGCATCCGTGTCACTGCTGGCCTCTGACGAGGATGGGCTCACAGGCTCATCGTTCTCACACAGCACATCTGCCCCTGTCAGGGAAGGGTGGACTGAGCCCCCAAAAAGGGAAGGTCGGCCCAGGGGTCTGCCCTGTGCCCAGGCTCCCCCCGGCACAGGCAGCTGAGGCTGCGGGGAGGGGAAGGGAGAGGAAGGAGGGTAGCGCCTTACCAGCTTTGAGGAGCAGTTTGGTGAGAGTTGGGGAGCCCAGACCAGCAGCCAGGTGCAGGGGGCTGTTCCCGGCATAAGTCCTGCTGTTGACATCTGCTCCCAGCTATGGAGAAAGGTGCAAGGCTGTGAGTATGGGCTGCCTGGGGGCTGCCTTCCCCCCACCCCCTGTCACCCCAAGACCACCAGAGACCCTCCACTTCTGCCAGGGTCCTGTAGGATGCTGTGCCCCACCCTTGTCCCACAGCTACCAACCCACCAGCCCCCCCCATACCTTCTTCACAAGGTGGGTGGCCATGTTCAGGTTCTCCATCTCCACAGCCAGGTGCAGTGGGGTCCTCCCGCCCTGCCTCTCCACAGCATTCACATCCGCTCCCTTCCTTACCAGCAGGTCCAGGCAGGCCAAACTCTTTGCCTTTATGGCCAAGTGCACAGGCAGGAGGCCTGCAACAGGGGGGGAGGCTCAGCAGCCCTTTGGCTGAGCCCACGACGTCACTGCCAGGTTCCTGCCCCTCATCTCCCAGCCCCACTCACCATGGAAATTGGGCAGACGGAGCAGGTAAGGAGCAGCTGAGCCCAGGTGGGCCAGCAGCGTCCTCAGCATCTCTTCATCACCAGCCTGGAGTGCCAGGTGCAGCAGGGAATTGCCATAGCGGTCCAGCAAGGTGGGGTCAGCACGGGCTTGCAGCAGGAGCTGGACCACTTGGGGCTGCTTGGTGATGACTGCCAGATGCAGCGGCGTCTGCAGGACAGCAGCACCTTGTCAGCAGTGCTCACAAGAGGAGCCAAGTCCTGCACCATCGTCCTTGCCAGCATGGCTGCACCGTGCTCAGCCCTGCAGCCTCCCCTCAGTGGAAGCAGCAATGGGAACCCCCAGGGTCGGGAAACAGGAACAAGCCCCAGGTAGAGAAGAACCGGCTGCTCTGGGTAACATGTACCTGCTGCAGGTTATTGGAGATGTTGATGATCTGCTGGCTGGGGATGCTAACAATGACCTCAATCAGCTGCTTGATTACAGCTGTCTGCTCATGGATAATAGCGAGGTGCAAAGGCCTGCAGAGAGAGCGGGGTGGCCCCTGACTCAGCTCCATGCTTCTCCCTGCCACCTCCCACCCCCAACAGCCCCCAAAATGGCTCTGATGGCCAACGGTGCTCCCATGCTCTCTCCCCAAACCCCTCGTGTACTCACGTGTCTCCGTTCTCATCCTGTGACGCGGCCAGGTGCCTCTGGACTGCCAGCAGCATGCGGGGGTCGGCGGTGACTGAGTAGTCGAGCAGGGCATGGGCATTGCGGCGGGCCAGTGCCAGCATCCACAGCTGGCAGAGCTGGGCTGGGGGGCAAAGCAGGATATCACTGCCGGGAGCAGCAGCCCCATCCACCCTCCTGCATCCCCCTCAGGCATGGAGGAGAGCGGCACCTGGCCCCAAAAGGTCCCTGACCCATGTCACCTCTCCCAAGCAATGTTCCCCAGCCCTCACTCCAGCCCAGCCCCCTCCTACCGTGCTTCTGCAGCTCCTTGCAGTACATGCTCTCCGCAGGCACCTGCCTGTCGCTCCCGGGCCCCTCCACCTCGGGGCCCTTCATCTGCACACCCCCCTGGTAGCCCCCCACAGGGTGGGGGCCGGGCGAGTAGATGCTGTTGTAGGCCAGCCCGGTGGAGTAGGGGAAGCTGAGGTTCCCGCCTGTGGAGCAAGGGGGAGGACAGGTGAGGCAGGAGAGGAGCAGGGAGCCCCCAGGGCCAGACCGCGGCTGCCCAAGCTGGGAGGGAAAAGAGGCATCCCCACTCACCTCCTCCAGAGCCAAAGCCCCCGGCCCCCCCACCGGCACCCCCCATGTGCGAGCCCCCGCCAAAGTGCTGGGGAAATTGAGGCAGGACTTTCTTGCGCTTCCTCTCCACTTCTTCCTTATCTGCAGGGAGAGAGGGGCAGTGGGGTGAGGGGCAGCCCCGGTGGCGGGGGCACACTGGCCTGCCCGGGGGGTGGCTCACCTTCCACCACGGGGTAGTAGGTGAACTGCTTGGAGTCGCTCACGTCGCCCCCCCGCTTCCGCTTCAGCTGCAGGAAGACGGTGACGGGACGGTCAATCTTGGGCTTGTGGTAGGGGGGTGTGCGGAAGACAATGGCGTACTGTGGGCAGGACAGACGGACGTGGGGTCCCGCTCCTCCCCAGAGCCGGGGACGGGGCTCCCCCACCCCACAGGGCACCCACCTGCCTCTGGGCACGGCAGGACACCCCCCTGCCTCCCCCATACCTGCTTGTGCACGTCAGTGGGGGAGAAGTCCCCGAAGGCCTGCCAGCCGTTCTCATCATCCTCGTAGAAACGCACCTCGATGTCATCTGGGGAGAGAACGGATGCTGGCACTGCCTGTCTCCCTGCCCCAGCCAGGCTCTGGGGGCACGGACCACTGGCCACCCAGGGGCCCCATACCTCTCCTGCCACAGCCCCTCAGGAAGATTTCGGCTGGAGGGAACGGCTTTTACCTTTCTGAACTTTATCACACAGCAAGTAGACTTCATCCCCTCCCCGCACAGAGCCTGCCGTCTTATCCATCCGTGAGATCTTCAGGTTGGAAGCTCCTGGGGACTCTGCGGAGCAAGAGGAGGCATTGGGAGCTGCTGTGGCAGACAGAGCATCCCTCACCTCCTTACCCCATCCTGCTCCATCCCCTCCCCGGTCTGGCCCCACGCTCACTGCTGTCGTGGATGGGGTCTGAGATGACAGGCTGGAGGGCCAGCGTGAAGTTCCCGCTGCTGTCGCGGAGGTAGGCAGTGAAGCGCAACCGCACAATGCTCAGGTCCATCACCTTCTTCAGCTCCTTTGCCTCCAGCTCGATCTCACGCAGCTCCGCTTCTGCCAGGGCAGGGGGAGATACTGTCAGGCTAGGCGAGGGGATGGGGCTCCAGGTCCCCCTACCCATCCCCCCAGCCTCACGCTAACCCCAGCCCCACAGTGGTCACCCTCGGGCGCTGAGTCCCACTGAGCCCCCAGGCTGCCCTCACCTGTCAGGAGATGGCTCCTGTTACGCATCTTCTGCTGCTTCAGCTTTTCCTTCATGATCTCCATCATATTCTTCTTGGTGACATGGAGCACACCCAGGTTGCTGAACCTGGAGGAGAAGAGGGATCCCGCTGGGATCTGGGAGCAGCAGGGCTGGGAGCAGCCGGCCTGGGGGGCACATGGGCTCCCACAGCCGGGAAGGAGCTGAGCAAAGCACAGAGTGGTGCTGCTCAGGCAGTGGGGGGTCAGCATGTGCAGGGCATAACAGTAACCACAGAGGAGAGGAAAGGAGCCCAGAAAAGAGGTGGCTGGGAAACTCCAGGCTTCCACAGGTGACAAGTCCAAAGGGGAGGCCTGGGAGGGCTGGAGGCCAGAGGGATGCAAATGGGACCAGGCTGAGCCAGCAGCCAAGGCTGGATTTGTAAGAGCAACTGCAGCAGTTGCCGAATAATCCTGTGACTCAGGCTGGCTACAGATGTCATCTGCAAAGCTGGGGAGCCGCAACCCTGAGGACAGAAGCCCAAAACAAGCTGCACATGCTGGACCCAGAGCTGGGCAAAATGCTCAAGGGACAGAGCTGTGCTGATGACCTTGTCTAAACCGACTCCTGGCTCCATCCAGTGAACCCAGCTCCTGGATACACTAACCCCCCTCTTCTCCCCAGCCTGTAAACTGCAGCCAGCCCCCCAGCTACCCCATGTAGGCAAAAGGCCACTCTGGGTCTCCCTCACACATACTGAGCTGTCATGTCCTTGGGTCCCACGATCGCGACGCAGTTGCCAGCCTCATTGCACTGCTTGCCCACCAGGCTGTGGGCATGCACGCGGGGAGGGTCGCTGTGTGTCACCAGGTCCACCTCGATCCGGGCCATACCTGTGTAGTTGCAGATCTGCAGGGAGAAAGGAGATGGGAGTCAGGTACAATAACCTGGGAGGCTGCAGGACTCTCTGCAAACCCCTACTAGCCCTCCCCATGGTCACCACCCCTCCTGCTGCAGTCCTCCCATCCCTCCAGCGCCACGAAACACACACAGCTGAATATACATTTCCCATCCTTCCTTCAAGGCACCCTCCTGGTGCCCATGCACACCGGCTGAAGACGCTGCCCCGTCCCCCCGCCCAGGGCAGCGCTCACCTTGACGGTGGGATAGGTCTTGCGTCCCTTCTCGCTGGATGCCCCCGGAAGCCCCCCATGTGAAGGGCCCTCGCAGCCGTACCGAAAACGGAACCCCCGCTGCGGAGGCAAAGAGTGGGTCAGCCAAGGGTGGCCCAAACTTGACGCTATGAGAGCAGGGGGTGACTGCTACACCTGCCCTTACCTGGGTGACATCCTTACCTGCTTTGGCTGCTCGATGATGAGAAGGTAGGGACCTTCCACTGGAGGACAAAGAGGAGAGGCACCGGTGAGAAACACAGGATAACCAAACTGCATGTTCCCAGTAAGGATGCTGGAGGTACGGGGACGGTGCTGAAGGTGAAGTGACCCCTGTCTGTCCCATGGGGGTCCTCAGGGCCCCTGGCCCCTGTGCTGTCAGAGCCCAGCCGGCAGCAGCAGTCAGAGCGGCAGGGAGAGGAGGGAAGGGCCAGAGGATGCTTTGGCACTTGGGGAGTGGGGAGCCCCTGGGGACCCATTGCAGCCCAACCTCAAGTCCTTGGTAGACAGAGCAGTGGGGTGAGACCGAACAGTCCCTGTCCCAAAGGCATGGGGCAGGGATTCCCAGCCAGCCCACAGAGGGGCCAGTGGGGACATGGCCCGTGGCGCTGCTGGGAACTACGAGGTGTGAGTCAGCCTGCTGGGAAACCCCGCTGCAGCTGGGGACCCCAGGAGGGCACAGCCAGAGGGGCCTTTACCTGTCTCCATCAGGGGCTCCTTCTGCTCCATCATGTGGGAGCCGAAATTGAAGTCATCGTAGTCAATCCCATCCAGGCACTGAGGGAAGATGAGTGTGATGAGCGCGTTGAGGCTGGAATCCCCAGCCGTCCTGGGGGGCAGGCACAGACCCACATCTCCCACCCTGGGGGACGGCCAGTCTGGCACAGACCCCCAGTGCCCACCTTGGCCGGGGGGGGGGGGCAAGGGGCAGGCACAGATCCCCCGCCCCTCCCTGGGAAGAGGGGTGGGCAGGTGCAAACCCCTCATTGCCCACCCCTGGGGGCACCAGCAGACCCCCTTTGCCCACCCTGTGGGCAGACACTGACCCCCCATCTCCCACCCCGGAGGCAGGCACAGGAC